GTATGGACATTTTAACTATGTTTATTCTTCCAGTCCATGTGCATGGGATATCTTTCCATTTCTTTATGTCATCATTGATTTCTTTCAATAATGTCTTATAGTTTTCATTGTACAGCTCTTTCACCTCCTTGGTTAAATTTATTCCTAGATATTTTATTCTTTTTGTTGCAATTGTAAATGGAATTGTATACTTGAGTTCTCTTTCTGTTAGTTCGTCGTTAGAGTATATCAATGCGACTGATTTTGTAAGTTGATTTTGTACCCTGCAACTGTGCTGTAGTTGTTCATTATTTGTAATAGTTTTCTCATGGATTCTTTATGGTTTTCCATATATAGAATCATGTCGTCTACAAACAGCAAGCGTTTCACTTCTTCACTGCCTATTTAGATTTCTTTTATTCCTTTTTCTTGCCTAATTGCTCTGGCCAGAACTTCCGACACTATGTTGAATAACAGTGGTGAGAGTGGGCACCCTTGTCTTGTTCCTGTTCTCAGAGGGATGACTTTCAGCTTTTCCCCGCTGAGTATGAGGTTGGCTCTGGGTTTGTCATATATGGCCTTTATAATATTGAGATACATTCTTTCTATACCCATTTTCTTGAGAGTTTTTATCATAAATGGATGTTGGATCTTGTCAAATGCTTTCTCTGCAGCTATTGAGATGATCATGTGGTTTTTATCCCTCATTTTGTTAATGTGGTGTATCACATTGATTGCTTTTATTTAGGGAGTGATAAAACCAGACAGAAAATTACTTATAGTGAGGATCAACACTGTATTTGACTTTCTTTAAACAATTTTACCCTAGAGCTAAGATATGAGGTTCCACTGTTCTGCTTAATAAAATAATGACAGCTTAAAAAACGCTTCTGAGACACTGCATCCTTAATAGCTGAAGAGGATCAAGGAGGCAAGCCTTCATCCTGAGGCCTCACTTCCTGCTCAGAGGATGGCAGGAATGGGAAGCCACTCTGCAGGAAGGTGGCTGTATGCGCACATGGGCACAGCACAGGAGAAAACACGGGATAGCCCAGAACACCACAATGATGGTCTGACTTTGAGTCACTAAAAGAAGTTTTATTCCAGTCTTCTCTTACTTTTCTAGTATGGCTTTCTCTACTGTCTTAAACTTCTTCAGTTCAACAATCACTTCCCAGTATCTGAGATGCAGCCACATGAGTCGCCCATTCTGGCATTTGTTGGTATTCCAGACATCACCACAGTATGTGTCATGCTTAAATATGTCAGTCAAGCCAGCTGCCATCTCTAGGTCAGCAGCAACGGGGTCAGTGGATGCTCGAACCAGCAAGCTCTTCTCTATTTTTAGTCTCTTGTTGCGAGGGAGAATCAGACTGCAGTAGATATTCTGTCTTTCTGTCAGAGCATCTTCAAACTCTTTCAGCAGAAGCCTGGCTCTCCTTTGCCAGTCTTCTTCCTTTTCCAGGCAGCTCAGATATGCATTTCTCAAGGGCTGCAACTGTCTCTTTTCTTGCATGACCTGAGCCCGTTCCTGTTCCAGCAGCTTCTTTTCTTCTACCAACCTGCACCCCTGAGAGATAAGGGCTTCTCGGTAACTAGTCGTTCTGTTTTGTTCCTTTTCAAGTTCCAAAGACAGCTGAGCAACAGCACGCCGATTCTCTGAGATCATGGCATGGTAGTTAGCTTCAAGATCCTGCTGGAACGCAGCTGTTCTCTGACGGTACGCTTCTCTCTCTTTCTCTGTTTCTTTTTGGGAAAAGAAAAGAACCATCCTTGTGTCTCTGGTATAAACCCCACTTGATTGTGGTGTATGATCTTTCTAATGTATTGCTGTCTTTGGTTTGCCAATATTTTGTTGAGGATTTTTGCATCTATGTTCATCAGCGATATTGGCCTGTAATTTTCCTTCTTTGTATTGTCCTTGTCTGGCTTTGGTATCAGGGTGATGTTGGCCTCATAGAATGTGTTAGGAAGTGTTCCATCTTCTTCTATTTTTTGGAATAGTTTGAGAAGGATAGGTATTAAATCTTCTTTGAATGTTTGGTAAAATTCACCAGAGAAGCCGTCTGGTCCTGGACTTTTATTTTTTGGGAGGTTTTTCATTACTGTTTCAATCTCTTTAGTTGTGATTGGTCTATTCAGGTTCTCTATTTTTTCTTGATTCAGTTTTGGGAGGTTGTATGAGTCTAAGAATTTATCCATTTCTTCTACATTGTCCAATTTGTTGCAATATAGTTTTTCATAGTATTCTCTTTTTATCGTTTGTATTTCTGTCGTATCCGTTGTGATTTCTCCCCTTTCATTTCTAATTTTATTTATTTGAGCCTTCTCTCTTTTTTTCTTAGTGAATCTGCCTAATGGTTTATCAATTTTGTTTATCTTCTCAAAGAACCAGCTTTTTGTTTCATTGAGCCTTTCTACTTTTTTTTGGTTTCAATTTCAATTTATTTCAATTTCATTTCAATTTTTTGGTTTCAGTTTCATTGAGCCTTTCTACTTTTTTTTGGTTTCAATAATAATTTTTATTATTTCCCTCCTTCTGCTGACTTTGGGCTTAGTTTGTTCTTCTTTTCTAATTCTGTTAGGTGTAGTTTAAGATTGCTTATTGGGGATTTCTCTTGTTTGTTAAGGTGGGCCTGTATTCTTATGAGTTTCTCTCTCAGGACCGCTTTTGCTGCATCCTATATGAGTTGGTATGGTGTATTTTTATTTTCATTTGTCGTCAGATATTCTGTGATTTCTCCTTTATTTTCTTCAATGATCCATTGCTTGTTCAGTCACATGTTGTTTGGTCTCCACATCTTTGTCACATTCCCAGCTTTTTTCTTGTAGTTGATTTCTAGTTTCATAGCATTATGGTCGGAAAAGATGCTTGTTATGATTTCAGTCTTCTTAAATTTATAGAGGTTTGCCTTCTTTCCCAACATATGGTCTGTCTTTGAGAATGTTCCATGTGTGCTTGAGAAGAATGTGTAATCTGTTCTTTTTGGATGGACTGCTCTATAGGTATCTATTAAGTCCATCTGGTCTACTTTTTTATTTAAGTCCTCTATTTCCTTATTGACTTTCTGTCTGGATGATGTATCCATTGATGTAAGTGGGTGTTAAGGTCCCCTACTATTGTTGTGTTGTTCTTGGTATCTCCTTTTAGGTTTGTTAATAGTTGCTTTATGTACTTTGGTACTCCTGTGTTGGGTGCATACATATTTACAAGTGTTATGTCTTCTTGGTAGAGTGTCCCTTTTCTCATTATATATTGCCCTTCTTTGTGTCTCATTACTTGTTTTATCTTGAAGTCAACTTTGTCTGATACAAGCATGGCAACACCTGCTTTCTTTTGTTTGCCATTAGCTTGGAGTATCGTCTTCTGTCCCTTCACTCTGAGCCTGTGTTTGTCTTTAGAGCTGAGATGTGTTTGCTGGATACAGCAAATTGTTGGGTCTTGTTTTTTAATCCATCCAGCCACTCTGTGTCTTTTGATTGGGGAATTCAATCCATTTACATTTAGAGAGATTATTGATATATAAGGGCTTAATGCTGCCATTTTATCTCTTGTTTTTCAATTATTATGTATTTCCCTTGTTTCTTGTCCCATGTATTTTGGACTGCCAGTTCAGTTTGGTGGCTCTCTATGATGGTTTTTTCAGTTCTCTTTATTTTTCATTTGTGTGTTTGTTCTGATTTTCTGTTTAGTGGTTACTGTGCGGTTTGTATAAAAGATCTCGTAGATGAGATAGTCCATTTCCTGATAGCCTCTTGTTCCCTTAGTCTAAGTAGTTTTCATCCCTTTCCTCTTCCCCTTCTAAGTAGTTGTTGTCACAACTTATTCCGTTATGTGTTGTAAATTTGTGGTTAAAATGAAGTGATAATATTTATTTTTGATGTTTTATTTTCCTTTATCTTTAAAGTTAGAATTAAGTGTTAGCTAATCTGTTCTGATAGAGAGTTGCAATTTCTGATTTTGTCTGCCTATTTATCTGCTTGGTAAAGGCTTTGTAAATCCTTTCTTTCTTTTTTTCCCATATGTGAGGGCTTTCTTGATCAAATCTTCTAGGGGGGGTCTTGTGGCAATGAACTCCCTCGGCTTTTGTTTATCTGGGAAAGTTCTTATTTCTCTTTCATATCTGAAGGATATTTTCACTGGATATATTATTCTTGGCTGAAAGTTTTTTTCTTTCAAAATTTTGAATATATCATTCCACTCTCTCCTAGCCTGTAAGGTTTCTGCTGAAAAATCCGCGGAAAGCCTGATGGGGCTTGCTTTATAGGTTATTCACTTCTCCCTTGCTGCCCTTAATATTTTTTCTTTATTGTTGACTTTTTCCAGCTTTACTAATATATGCCTTGGAGAAGGTCTTTTTACATTGATGTAATTATGAGTCCTGTTGGCTTCCTGTACATGTAGTTCCAGCTCTGTCTCCAGGTTTGGGAAGTTCTCAGTTATTGTTTCTTTGAACAAGCCCTCTGCTCCTTTTTCCCTCTCTTCTCCCTTTGGAATACCTATAATCCTTATGTTGCATTTCCTAATTGAGTCAGATATTTCTCAGAGAATTTCTTCATTTCTTTTTAGTCTTAGTTCTCTCTCCTCCTCCATCTTAAGCATTTCTGTGCTCCTATCCTCCAGATTGCTAATTCTGTCTTCCATATTATCAGCCCTGTTGTTTAAGGACTCCAGATTTTTCTTTATCTCATCCACTGTGTTTTTCATCTCTAACAATTCTGTTGGTTTTTCTTTATAGATTCGATCTCTTTTCTGAAGAATTTCCTCTGTTCAGTAATTTGGTTCCTGATTTCATTGAAGTGTATTTCAGAGTTTTCTTGTAGCTTGTTGAGTTTTCTTATGATGGCTGTCTTGAATTCTTTGTCTTTTAGATCGTATATTTCCATGCCTTCATGACTGATTTTTTGGTGTTTGTCTTTTACCTTCTGGTCTGGAATATTAATATATTTCTTTATACTATTTGGTGGAGTGGATCTGTGTCAGCGCAGAGTGATAGTTTCTGGACACAGGTTCCACCTGCCGCCACCGGGGCAGGGGTGAGGAGAGGGCACAGGAGCTGTGTAGTCTGATCCCGCTGCCACGATCCTTGTCAGGTGTGGCTATCCGAGCCTGGGTCACTCCTTGGGATCGCAGCAGCCCTGTGGGGTCTCCCACCAAATGGGGAACTAGTCACGTAGGGGGCTCAGGGCTGCTGCCTCCTGCTCCCACAGACCCACAGAGCTGTGCTCCCTGCTTCAGGGCTACAGCGGTACTATGGGTATTCACGGCAGCTGGGAGCTTGTTTGCCAGGACTGGGATCTCAGCCACCCTCTGCTCCTGGGTCTCACCAGCCATTGTGCTTGGTGGGCGGGACCTGCCCTCTGGGACCGAGCCAAAGCCACTCCCTGGGACTGGGTGGGATTGTGGATTCTCCCACCAGAGGACAGTGTGGTCACACGGGAGCTCAGGGCTACTGCCGCCTGCTCTCACAGTCCCACTGAGACACGCTTCACCCCTTTGGGGCCACAGCAGTACTGTGGGTGTTCACAGCAGCCAGGAGCTTGTTTGCCTGAGTGGCAGCTCAGCCACCCTCTGCTCTTAGGTAGCACCGGCCTTTGTGCTTGGTGGGCGGGGCTTTCCCAGTGGGTGCAAGCTTGTGCCGCTCTGTATGGGCTGCATGGCCCTGAGGGCTCCCCCACTAGGTGGGGAAGTGATCACACAGGGGCCTCAGGGCTGCTGTCATTTGTTTCCACAGTCGCGCTGAGGTATGGTCCCGCCCTCGGGGCCACAGCAGTGCTGTGACCACTCCAGCTAGGAAAGTAGTGCTACACGTGCGCTGGGCTGCCTGGGGTCCAGAGGGTGCTCACCTATCTCCACCACCTCCTGGGGGGGGGTAGTTCATCTACCTTCAGATATACAGCTGCTCGGGTCTCTGAGGTCTCTGGGTGTGCTGTGAGGCTATTCTCCACTGATCGATGAATCTTCTTTTAGTTGTAGTTCGAAGGGGGAGAGACACAGGGAACAGCTCACTCTGCCATGTTGCTGACGTCACCAGGTTTATATTCTTAATCTAAAGGAATAGTTTAGTTAGAATTTCTTGTGGTAAGCATTCATAAATGAATATGCTCTTGATTACAATTAGGCAATTTTCAAGGAAGGTCAAAACATTATAGCAGATGAACTTGCTACACAATGGGAATGATAAAGCCTTATAGGAAGTCCCATAGTGAGACTATAGAAGTTAAGAAATATCTTTTCCTTTGCTTATTTCCTCCTGGCAGCCTACAAAATTCTCCTTTTTTTCCCCACAAATAGTGGAACAACTGGACATGCAAATACAAACAAATGAACCTTGATCTAAACCTCACACCTTACACAAAAGTTAACTCATATTGATCATAGATCTAAATGTAAAATTATAAATTTTTGTAAGAAAATACAGGAAAAAATCTTTGACCTAGAGTTAGGCAAAAAGTTCATCAAAATTGAGAAGTTTTGCTCCGTGACATGCACTGTTAAGAAAATGCAAAGACAAATTACAGATTTGGAAAAAATATTGGTGAATCACATATCCGACAAAGGGCTTGCATATATCTGTACAGGAATACGTAGAGAACTCTCAAAACTTAACAGTCAGAAAGCAAGCAACTCAATGAAAAATGGGCCAAAGATTTGAATAAACACTTGATCAAAGATGATATACAGATGGCAAATAAGCACATCAAAAAATGTTCAAGATCATTAACCAATAAGGAAGTGAAATTAAAACCATTATGAGATAAGACTACATA